GGGTCGTGACCCCCATGACCCCCCCTGGATCCGCCCTTGAGGACGCATACAAGTTGGAATAATCTAATATTCGAGCCAAGGATTTGAAAGCAGTTCTCTTTTAATCGCCCAAATCAGTAGTGCGACAACGGTATATTATATAGACTTTATATCATAAAGATGTATTAATTAGCTACTTTTATCAGATACATTACCTAATATACTGTGCCTGTCTGGTATGTAGCGCTGCAAAATCTTCTCCCTTTGCTCCTTCAGCCTATTGTACCAGTTTTTTATAGAAGCAGGACTCAAATCGATAGGCTGTTGTATCCATTTCAGCAGGCTAATCTGGTTATCTTCCTGAAGTAATGTTTCCTTCGTAAATGGGGCACTGTTTAGTATACAACTAGATTACCGTGTAAAATGTTCTTAGCGTAGAGTAATATTCTACGTTCTTTTGATGCCACGGTGTTCTCCATACCAAATCTTCTTTGGTCACTTCTGTTCGTTTTTTCTGGTTTAAGGACTTCAATCTGATTGCGGGTTTCTCTGGGCTAGTTTCTACCAATTTGTCTTTGAGTTCAGCGTTTTCCGAGAAACTGCAACAGTACTGATTAAAAGCGCACTGGGTTAATTTTTGAGACCTTCTACGCAATAGTTTAAACATTCCGTAGGGGGTAAGTTCCAACTTTCCCAAACAAATTTAGATAGAAATTATAACCTACAATCTGTTATGACAATTTAAGTGAGGTTCATGTGAAGTTTCGTTGCCAAGCGCTCTTCGTGGTTTTTTTTGGTAATATTCCTACGCTCCTCCCCTCTAAAAACAAAGATGCAACGTGGATTGGGCCATAAATCTGAAAGGGATAAAGATGCTGGGAGCAACAAACGTCACGAAATCCACGTTTGATTGTCATATAATTATTATTTACGTCAGAGGGGATCATATTTAAGGTTTAAGTTGATCAGTTTGCTAATTATAAAAGGTGAAAGGTTTGAAACCGGCGAAGAATAAGAAATCCATACTTGTTGAAGCTGCAATATGGCATCTAATGATGAAACGATTTTGGCCTTTCAGCGCTTGGGCTTAAGCCAGCAAAAGGCCAAAGAAACGTTGAAGAATACCACAGTTACCAAAAACCTTCTTTCTATTTTAAATGAAGTAAGCATTTACAATTCAAGTAGTGTATATTTATATTTACGCTGTTACGTTCGTCTATAACATAGTTAACAATTAATTTTCCTATCTTACAGATAAAAAATGAAGTTCCAGGAGAACCAATTGGTATTCTTCTTTACCACTTGGGTACCAAGATAAAACCCCAAATTCACCACCAGCTGCCAATTCTAGTAAAATACATCATGTCCAGAAAGCTGGACAACACTCTAAGAGTAGATAAAGCCATAGAGTTTGCTCTGTCCCATATAAATCTAATTGATACCAATGAGCTAGAAAAATACTGCGGCGTGGGCGTAGTAGTCACTCCTGAACAAGTGGAGGCTTGTGTAGAAAAACATATAATTCCCTTCAAGGGTGAATTGATGGAGAAAAGATACAAATTCAATGCTGGCCCATTGATGCAGAAAGTGAGGGAGGAATTGCCATGGGCAGGTATGGCACAGTTTAAACCTAATCCCTTGACCAAAACAAGAAAATTAGTTTTTTTCCTATAGATGGCAAAGCAGTGAAAAATGAGATTGATGTTCAAATTCTGGACATACTTGGACCTAAAACTGAAGCCGATTTAGCCCCGGCTTCAAAGGCAGATAAGAAGGCTTCTAAACCCAGTAAAACTGATGCAAAGGCAAAATGCAAACCCAAAGAAACCAAAGAAGTTGTTAAAGGTATGTCTTGTACTATTCATTTAAAAGAAACTAGACCCACAGGAAACTGATCCTGTGAAAAATTCGGCTTTACATGGGCGGTTTTGTATATCGTATTTTTTTGTAAATTGCAGATGTGCCAGCAGCTCAAGCCCTAACAATTTTGGACGTAATGAAGAAAATCAGCTTCCATGCCCCAGGGGAGAATTTTAAAACCGATGGATATGTCGTTACTAATAATACTGAAAGGTTGCTGGCGGAGCACTTAAAGATCACAGGTGGAAAAGTAAGTTGACGTCTTGTCCGTGTCTCTTGCCTTCTTTAAATTTCGAACAAACTCTCTCTTATGGTGTCATCAAACCTACTTTGCATTATGAACCGGATGAAAATGGGTGTAAATAGCAATTACCGTTTTTACCATCGGCAATATCGTATTGGACAATTATTTAACAATATCTCATCTCTCTCAGCACCATATGCCAAAATCAGTTTTTCTGTGCAATGATGCATATTTAATTTTATAAATATGTTTTTTTGTGTGTGCAAACAAAAGTAATTGAACTTTTCTCACGTGAAAAAATCTGCATAAACTTGTTCACATGAAAAGTAAGTTCGTTTTGTTCTATTTCACCAGGTCAGAACGCGTTTTCCTCCAGAACCGAATGGTATTTTGCATATTGGCCACGCCAAAGCCATTAACATCAACTTTGGGTATGCAGCCGCCAACAACGGCGTGTGTTTTTTAAGATACGATGATACCAACCCCGAAAAGGAAGAGGAAAAGTTCTTTACGGGCATTCACGATATTGTCACCTGGTTAGGTAAGTAAATGAAACGCCACGCTTTGATCCCAAAATGGCAATGCTTTCCTTAAGGATACAAACCGTATAAAGTAACCCACTCGTCGGATTATTTCGATCAGCTTTATGAATGGGCTGTAAAACTAATCGGCAAAGGATTAGCGTACGTTTGTCATCAAACAGCTGATGAAATGAAGGGGTTCAATCCAGAACCGTCGCCCTGGAGGGATCGTCCAATAGCAGAGAGCCTGCAACTATTTGAGGTGAATAAACTGGGTCTAGTTGAAAGATTGGGAGTTATTCGTTGTGGTGCTTCTAGGATATGAAAAATGGGAAAATCGATGAAGGCGAAGCCACTCTTAGGATGAAAATCACTCTGGAAGAAGGCAAGTTGGATCCGGTAGCCTACAGGGTACGGTTTACGCCCCATCATCGAACAGGAGATAAGTGGTGCATCTATCCAACTTACGATTATACCCATTGTCTTTGTGATAGTATCGAACATATCACGCATTCTCTCTGTACGAAGGAATTTCAGTCGAGGTAGCAATTTATTTTTTTAAGATTTGTCCATTGATGTTTCCATTGGAATCTCGAAACCCATAAGATACGCGAGGTCGCTTAAATCGGGGGAAACTTGCACATTTTTGAGTTTTGTCAAATTTTGTTATACATTTTGGAAAACGTATGAAATCGGAATTTGACGAAAGTTGCAAATTGAAAGCAAAATGCTGCACTTTGCCTTAATTTAAGTATTTTCATTTCCAAATGTTTTTTCCCTCGAAAGTGAGAAAATAACACTCAAAACATAATATTAAAACAATGTTTACTTGTTTTAGGAGATCGAGTTACTATTGGTTATGCAACGCTTTAGGCATTTACTGCCCAGTGCAGTGGGAATACGGCCGATTGAATGTTAACTATACAGTCGTTTCGAAGAGGAAAATTGCAAAACTCATTAGCGAGGGAATAGTAAAAGGTAATGTTCGCTTCTGATACATGTTAAATGTAAATTGACCTTTTGTACTTTAGATTGGGACGATCCAAGACTGTTCACCCTTACGGCTCTGAGACGAAGAGGTTATCCATCAGAAGCCATTAATAATTTTTGTGCGCAATTGGGCGTAACCGGAGCTCAAAGTACGGTAGACCCATCCATGCTGGAAGCTTTCGTTCGTGATTATCTCAATAACGAAGCGCCACGGTATGTAGGAAAATTATTACTAAAAAATAAAAGACAACATGTATTGGTGTCAACTTTTGACCAGTCGGGTACATTCGAAAAGGAGGGGTTCGATTGAAATAAGAAGCAGTTATTTATTTGTTACAGACATATGGTAGTGCTACATCCACTCAAAGTTACCATAGAAAATTATCCTAATTCCGCCCCTGTAATCCTATCGGTGCCAGATTTTCCTAACAAGCTAGAATTGGGAAGCCATAATGTCACGTTCGATAGGGTAATTTATATCGAAAGAAGCGATTTTATGGAGGTAAACAATTCATGCTTAATACTGGCTCTTTTAATATTATTTGAATTTGCTTCAGGAAGGAGAAAAAGGCTATAGGCGTCTAACGAAGGCGCAGTCTGTAGGTTTGAGACACGCCGGCTATGTACTAGAAGTGACGGACTTGAAGAGAAATTATTCGGGAGATATTTCAGAGGTGATTTGCCAATGCACTGCTGCCGAGAAAGCCGTAGTTAAACCCAAAGCTTTCATTCACTGGGTGGCCAATCCTATTGAGATAGAAGTGCGGCTTTATTCGTCACTGTAAGAAACGTTCTATCTGTTGTATTCCCATTTAATATACCGATGTTTCGTAGGTTTAAGCACAAAAATCCGGAAGATCCGAACGAAGTACCCAACGGTTTCCTATCAGACTGCAACCCGGATTCTCTGACAATTTTGCAAAGTTACGCAGATAAGTCTCTCTCAAACGTCAAGGCTTTGGATAATTTCCAGTTCGAGAGGACAGGATTTTTTGCAGTAGACCCGGACACGAACGGAAACAAGGTAAGAAAGAATACGTACTTTTTGTGATCTAAGTTCTGATTAAGTAATTATAATTTAAGTAATTCTGAGTAAGGGTTAATCCTAACGCGTAGTTGATTTAGCAAGATATATTCTATAAATAACGGTACAACCCTGAACTTCAAACGTGATTCTCAGCTTCTTCAGCTTTTAGAACATTATATTTTCATGGTTGAGTTTTACACAAATTATATGGTTCCAGATCGTCGTAAATAGGACTGTTGGACTCAAAGAAGACACAGGTAAATAGTGCGATAAAGCGGTTGGTTTTATAGTAAATGATGTTGACTAAGTTTTGTACGATGCCCAATAAAATTGTCATAAAATAGTGGTCGTTAGTGAGAAATAATCGAGAGCCGAAAAGCGGTTCACCGGTGGAAGGAAAACTAATACTTTAGTAAAAGAGTGTTTATTCATCAAATTACATTTATACATTCATTCTCATCAAAAAAATTATTAAAATACATATTTAGAAAATCACTTCATAACAAAACGTTTTTATATAATTACAATACGTACAAATAGGTACACTAAAGCGTCTATTTACATCATTGAAATGCTGCTTAATTAGACGCCTTAGCGTATAAAACAACATAAACGGTTATCCAGGATTGGTGGTGAGGGGAAAACACCTCTAATTAAATGAAACGCATTTCAATTTACTTGAGATAGAAAAGAAAGAATGTTGTAATTCAACAGTGTACATAATATCTAGACGGCATCCACCACAGCCATTCGAACATCTCGCTCCTTATCTGCCTCGTACCGTCTCAAGACCTCGCTCAGCGCGTCCAAATGATTACTCACGAAATAATCTGAAACAAGTTTTCCAGTTTACAGTTCGTAATGGCACAAAACAAATAATTTGAATTACGTTCGATTTGAACTCTATTGACCTGCAGAAGTTGAGAAGCGTACAGTTTATGAACATATTTAGTGTTGGTTTGAGGATTTTCGTGTTTCTCATTTCTTTTCACACAGACAAAAATTTTCCAAACATTTTTCTAGTTAGAATTGTGACTTGTTTTCTCCTTCATTTACAAAAATAAGTGTGCTGGCCTACACTATTATGTACAACGGCAAGCTAAAGAATGGTTCTATTAGTACTTACCATTAGTAATGAGATGTTTAACAATGCAGTTAGCAACGCCTAGTCGAATGTTTACGACAGGGTCCCAACTGAGCTCTAATAGATCGGACAACATTCCGGTTTCGGCTGAGGCAAAGTCTTGAGGCGAAAGAGCTTCTCGCTTTAGAATTTCGGTACATAATAAGACAAACGTTTGTCGCATTCTCCACTTTGTTCCATGTGCATACTTTTTCGACAGTAAAGTCAGAAGCTTGGCGGACAGAGTGAGGTCCGCGTTCGTTCGCTTTAGAACTTCAGAAACCTATGATCGGGAGACAACAAACAGTTCAGCATCTATTCATTTAAATTCCAATTAACTTAACGAATTTAGTATTTGTCAGTAGGACGTTAAATTAACTTCACATATGTTATCAGAAGACCGTCGTCAAAACTCATCACAGCAAATTGTTTAACTTTTTAAAATATTGGATTTTTCTTATACGAATCGAGGAAACCGGACTATAGTTTTATATAAAACCACTTACGAGAACTATAGCAGCAAGTCGAACCTCTGCCACCTTCTCGCAAAGCAGCGACGGAGCATACATGCAGCCAAGCCACTTTGCGACATCGGCAGGACTAAACAAATGTACACAACGCGTTAGTTGTTCTGCAAAAGTTTGTAGAAACCGCCAATTCCATATACTGTTCATTCTCGTTAAAATCCCAAGTTTTCCGGCAAATGAATCCCGCTTTTGAGGAGTGACCAGGTGTAGAAAGTCAAACAGATTGTTCAAAACACCAATCCGTACCTAGAAGAAGCAAAATATTCGTATTCAAAGTAAGTTTCAAGTGTGTGCCAAACTTTTACCACCTCATCCAAGTCTGCTAAAAAGTCTACAAATAGCGGGGACAGGTCTTCGGAAGCTATTTCTGAGCCTAAAATTACCGCAAGTGGACATAAACTGCTGGCCACTGACCGCCGAATCCTATACGACAAGTGACCTGAAAACAAGAGCTATTTAAAAAATCGGAAAACAGCATTTACGTTTCAAGATTTTACATGCCAAAGCCCGAACAGTGTCTTTAACAAGAGGCCAATATTCTCGTCCTAATGTTGAAATAACGGCCGGCATTGAGTAAGCACAGTGAACAGACATGTCGTTTCCATGTGGACGACCGCTAAGATTTGCCATAGACAAGAAACTGTCGATCAGGTATTGGGGAACTATTGTTTGAGTGGGTCCTTTTATTTCATTCGTTGTTGAGCTACTTACATTACCGTTATCACTAACTGAAAAAAAAAACCCTGTTTTTAACAAGTGTGTACTCAGAAGAAAAGACAAGTTCAACTTCTCGGTTCAATCATAGTCTGCCTTATACAAAGTTGTCTTCATTAGATATCGCTTTGTATGTTATAATCATCAAAAACTGCTTCGAAAAATTTCCGTATAGCTTAAATATTCCCKRAGTTTTAACTGTAAAAAGTATTTTGGTGATCCCATTTGTTAATTGGCTTTTGGCGTTTGTTTCAGTTTGACMTATTCACTACAGCAGGCGCTGTTGTCAATTTTTGTTAGACATATTCGCTTCAGAAGGCGCTTTTGTCGATTTTAGTTCGGCGTATTCCCTTCAGAGGGAGCTTTCGTCTTTTTTAGTTCGACTTATTCACTTCAGAGGGCGCTTTTGTCGATTTTAGTTCGGGCTATTCCCTTCAGARGGAGCTTTCGTGTTTCTTAGTTCGACTTATTCACTTCAGAGGGCGCTTTTGTCGGCTTTAGTTCAACTTATTCACTTCAGAGGGCGCTTTTGTCGGTCGGCTTTAGTTCAACTTATTCTTTTCAGAGACAGATTTCGTCGATTTTTAGTTCAAGTTATTCACTTCAGAGGGCGCTTTTGTCGCCTTAGTTATTTTACTATTAAAATTAATTAAATAAAATTTTAAAAATTTAAGAGACCAGAGACTAAAAATTCACCTAGGCCTGGTCAGTTTACCTTGAGCCATTCCAGAGATATTCAGTTTTATGACCGGTCACATCAACTGACATTACAAATTTTCCTCGGAAAAGGCTGTGCAGACAAAATTTAATTGTAAACCTTTGCGTATTACTCCATTCCACACACGAGATTTTTCAGTTTAAATAACTTTGGCGGGGAGAATCTCTGAAATGAATCAGGATAAACCGACGATTAAAGTTACAAATGACAGACATAAGGCTTTATATAAAGCAACATCGGCCAATTTTCGATCTGCGCTATGATAATTTTTCGATCTGCCCGCAGAAAGGTTCAAACTTGACCAAGAAAACATGACACTATTTCAACACCTTATTACATTTAATACATAATTTTTTTGCTTATCTTATTACCTAAATTTTGTCCAAGAACAGAGCTATGATTTGTCGGATCACCGGCTGAGAAAATAGTTAGTAAAAAATTAGGGAATATTTAAGGCTATGCGGAAATTTTTGGCCCACTGTGTAGGTTGTGCAGGTGCATAGGTTCATCAAAACCGAACTTTGTGTGATAAATTTCTTACTTTTTTTGGCTTACCTATATTATCTAAATTATCACCCTTATTATCGCTGCAAGGTTGCACTGAGTTGGGCCGATCATCCAACAACTCAATTTCATCGCTGCCTAACTCAATCTTAGTTGGTAATTTTTGAGCATGACATATCTAAAAACAATGGTAAATAGTTGAAACTGTATGAGTTAATGAGTACTCATTTAAGTCAAAGCTGGTTTATTCGAAGGGGTTTTTTGAGAAAAATATGCCTGCATGAAATTGCCACCATGCCTTTCAAGCGCTTTTAAGAGCAATTTAAAATATTTTTCTCGTTTTGCTAATGTATAAAAATAATTATCAGTTTTATATCTTGCCCTCGAGACCCCACTCACCGTGTCTTGCTTCAATCTTCTAAAGAACAAACATATTTTTGCATTAATAAAATTCTAGTTGTGACTTGGGGATTCGAAATCCCCGGTTAATAAAATCCTACATTTAACCAGCGTTAGTTTAGCTATTGTTAAAGACGTGTAACCGACTTGCGACTTGTTCCACGTATCACATCTATTAATAAACTGAATAAATTGTCATAGCCGATAACGTTTCCAGCAGGAAATGACATAACGCCAGATAATTTACAAAATTTATCACGTGTAAATTAATTTGGCGCCAAACACTTTACGGAATTTCGATTTACGGCGCTTAAAAGATTATCGAAACATGTTTCAGAAGAGCAACATCTTCCAAGTAAATAATTAATCGCCAATTCAGATAATATGTAGTTCGAATGGCTTTAAAGAACATATGTTTGGCAGTCGAATGTTAAATAGATCGTTACTTACAGTATGCTGGCCATGCCCTTTGAAGAAACTGTTTTCAAAAAATCATACAAAAAGCAAAGCAAAATATTCACAAAAATGACCTACCACATTGTACTTACTGTTAAGTACTTAACAGTCATCATAAAATCCCAGTCAGGTAAGTGGAAAAATGCAATTAAGAAATTATATTCGTTGATTAGGTGCTGGCAAAGGACAAATTCCGCTTTTGCTAACACAACTAACAGCGACTAGCGAAAAACTGTACTTGAGTCACTAGTAATAAAAATCTTATCAAAACTCATGAATATTAAAGTTAATTTATGGCACTGGGGCTATTGTTCGTGTTATTTTTACATTCGAGTAAAAAATAGTGTTCAACACTAGGGCGAAAATACGTTTACCCCCCTCATTTTTAATAACCCCTGTTTTATATTTTAACTAGGATGTGTAACGTAATTGTTCACATTATTTCATTTTCCATGTCCCGTGTTGACGGTTTTTGTCTGCATTAAAAATGTAAACGTATTTTTTTCTGGATTAGCACATATTTCCCAAATAATAACAATTAATTAATAGTTCAACTCCTGGTAAAGCGAAGAATAGTGAAAAATAACACCAATGACAAGAATTTCAGAGGACAATGATATTAATAACGATAATATGACCATGGCTTCTGTGCGAAAAGTGGACGTTTTCAAATAAAAACTACTTTTGCTTGAATGAAATTCCACAAAACATTTCTGATGAGAAATGTATAGTATATTCCTGATGAAAGACATCATTACATTAAAACACAGAAGAAAAATCCATAAAAATTAGCACGATTAATCAAGTGAAGTGCCCTTAATCGAGTCCCCATATACTCCATCAAAACTGAACTTACCACAACATCTTCCGAAGATTCGTTCAAATCCCCCTGTTCCCCGCCATCAGTCGTCAGCTCAAGTTCGTTGAGATCGAGTTCAGGTGGACTTATGTACCAATAATTATGTTGGTTATACGCAAGCAAGTCACCGTCGAGCTGTGATATTGAACATTCGAAGATTTAGCATGCAAGGCAATTGCAAAGTACAAATCAAGAAAAATGTTTTTCCACTATCATCCAGATTACAAAAATGATCTTGATGTGCACTCATCAACATAACAGAGCATCAGTTAAAACAAGAAAAATAAGCTTTGTTAGTAGTTTTCGTTATATTACTCAATTTACTTGTAATATGAGATGATTTAGCATCTCACCCATGAGGTAAAACTGTACGTGTTTGGAATGTAATGTAAAAAATATTACCTCATTTTTAGTTTCAGTCTCAATTTTGGAATTTGCATTTCCATTTTCTTTGGAGCATCCAGCTTCAGTGGTGAATCCATCCAGCTTCAAGTCATTGAATGCTACGAGTGCTTCCACGAATGCGCCGCTGTTATATGCCTTCAATAATAGTTAGAAGTTATTAGAATGAAAACCACCGTGATAACCACTTTATTTCTACGTAATTAAACAACTCTACATGATTTTGATCTATATGGCTTTTGACGTCAGTCCAAGTTTCTGCAGCTCGTCAGCCATTACTCACACATGACTTTGGCCTTCCTCCCAATTCTGAAGAATCTAAATCTGTTACTTCATTGCAAGCGCCTTTTTCCAAATCATCGTAATAATGTAAGTAACCATCTTCTGTGGAGCTAGCCATAAATGCCTCTTCCATCGTGACCACGTTTGAAAAACCATCTTTGCAGGGTGGTTGGATGCTATAAAATACAATTCATTATGATTGGCTATATTAGATTGGACAATACTTACAAATAGTCACCCTCTAGATTCATTAAAACCAAATCGCCTGAAATGTCGTATGCAATTTTTGTCGATGGAGGGTCGGCAAACGTGGCTATGAAACCTCCTAACGTTTGGCAGGCAGAGGTTCGAACCCATTTAGATTTATCTCGCAACAGTTTTCCAAAAGCTGGAGCAAGCAGAGACTTTCGAAGTTCTGATGGACACACACACGAAACGAACGTAATAACTTCAGCACATGCTTTTCGGACGGTCCACATATCGTCTTCACATAATGCTAAGTAACAAGGCAACTGTAACAAAAAACAACCAATAAATAGATTTTCTTCAACTGACCAATCTCAAATTGCGAAACGTTAAACGGATCAGAGAGACTAAATTGAACTTCAGTTATGTTGTCAGAAGACCGTCGTCTCAATTCATCATGCAAATTACATTGTGCAAAAGGGAATAAATATCAAAGTATGGAAAAGTTAATTATAAGCTTACCAGACTTTCTTCATATACTTTTGATCCCACAATCGCACAGTAATGACCAAACTGCCAAGCAGCTAACTTTCGTACGTAAAATAAATGACTTGAACACAGCTCTATAAATCTCTTCATCAGTATCCTTTCGGCGATGTCCTTGCCTAAGAGCCGAATAAACTTGCTCATAAGCTGAAAGTAAGGTATACGCATTGTACTAGCTGTTTTATGCAAGAAATGTTATAAACGGAAAAAATATAATATAATATAATCATAGAGCACTCACTTAACCTGGGTTAATGCAGACGAAAATGTATGCTCACGCTCATCAAAGCTGGCTGTGATATGTCTTCATAAATGCATTTCACATCCAGTTGATAAGCGCGAGAATGCAACAAAATCTCCAACGAATTTTTTAAAAACCATTTGACAATCGGCAAATGAATTAATGTTGCACCGCTCATCAAAGCTGGCTGTGATATGGTATCAAATCAACATTTCACATCCAATTGATGAGCGACACAGGCATCTAATTGACAATTATTCGAACGATCCCACGACTTTTCGATCAGCTAAAGATGGTCATTGGTTAAGTGTTAAGCACAAAACTCGTCAAAATGGCTGTGATACCAACTATAACACGGTACACAGACAGATTGACGGGATTCGGACAAAACTTCTTCAATTGATTGACTGTCTTCGGTTATTCAACGCACAATAAGAATTTTGCCACAAGCCATAATTCCTTGTGTCTTGTTTCCAGGTACCATCACTAGACTGACACATAAATAACAATGCTGGTGGTGCAAATGATGCAAATGTCTGCAACCTAACTCATCAAAGTGGCTGTGATATCATATTTAAAAACCAGAATTCACAGCCAAATTGACGATCACAGGGCAAAGACAACGACATCGAATATGGTGTTGTGATGCAACAAAGTGAACAATGCTCATCAAAGCTGGCTGTGATAGAATTGAAGCATCTAAAACGTCCAACTCTGATGGGCAATGGTAACTCCTCTTCCTGTTGTTTTAGTTGAATATGGTTGTCAAGTAAAAAACAAATGTGGTGGAAATTGCTGATACCTCATGAAAGACAAGGTAGTGAGACAAAAAAAAATAATGAACATCTCACTACCCATGTCTTTCACAATGAAACAGCATGCTATGGTGAATGCGTTGGATCACTTAATGTCTAAGAGAACGAGTCTTTAAAACCCAATTGAATTAGGCCAACTTACCGTAATAGCTGAAGTGTTAACGTCCAGTTGATTTTGGAGGGCTAAAATGGCAGGGCATACTTTAACTTCAGCTTGAAATTGTGTCACGTAGCCTTTTTCCATCATTTCCACTAAAACCGCCTTTGCTGCGAGATTGATACCTGTCTCTGACCATCCTAGATTCCTCACCACTACTGGCAGCAAGTAGTCTCCAATCACATCTTTAAGTGCTTCTACTCTGTCGGAGTTTGCTAGGGCCTCAGCTGCTATACTTGGAATTTTCTCTAAGAAATTCTCCTGAAGAAAGTCATCTGCAACCAAGAAGTAAATATTAAAATCACATATTTATTGGACATGAATTGACAAATATCGATATTATTTGGCTCTAGACTGAGACCTATATTTACTTGACAATCAGACGTTAAAGTGAATGGAACTTGGGAGCGAAAACCTAAAATATCTATAAAAATTGTTCAGAACAAAACCTACTTTTCGTGAAATCGTTGGAAAAATACATCTTCGGGTAAACCGGCGAGGGCATTTATCCAAAGAAAAAGCGGCAAATGGCAGAAAGCACGCGGTATTTCCACCATTTTGATTCGGGGCCCAAATATTCTTGCAGGTTAGCCGGAAATGCTTCACGCAAAACTACGCCGTAGAACTCGAAGAAACACACTAAATTGACACAAAATTGAAGCTAATCTTACTCTCGACAAAATCCTGCTATTTTTCGTTAAAAACACACGGTTTCTGGTGGTTTTTTTCACTAAAAATGCAGCGAAGAAATCACAAGCGCTCGCAAACCATGCTGTTGGTTCACTTCTTCGCATTGCCGCGCCGCGGCGTTATTGTAACTGTGACGCGCCGGCCGGCAAATGGGCGACGTTGCCATCAATGCTCATATTTTTCCCGGCAAATAAGACCGATTTCGACTCTTCACTCAATATGCTTTTGCCTTATCTCGAATAAAAACCAATAATCTACTAATTGATGAATGAAATACTTTTTCGACAAGACCGTGAGGCATCTAAAAAGGAGTTGCAATATCCGAGCACGTGCCGATGGGGATTGTAAACTCTGATTGGATAACAGGTTGCCATTGTAATTTTTAATTGGCTAACCACGCAACAGGTGCTAATACGAGAATAATAATTTTGCATACTGAATATTAAGATGAAACAACCAACTAGGCCTAGCTCGATAGGTACCGCTAATTAGCAGTTAATTTATCGCCTTCTAAACTGGTGCAACATGCACGATTGCGTTTCTCACTAAAAATTTCAGCAAACCACGATTTAAGGAGCGCTGTCTGGTTGCGGCTTTTCAAAATGGCGCATAAGAGATTCAATGCTTATTAACTTCGATGTTTTATAAAATACCGACGACTTTTGCAAAACATTAATGGTGGAACAGCGTTTTGAAGCATGTACGTGTGCTATACTATATTTTGCAATGAGCCGAAATTTGCCGTTAATATCAGTTTTGACTAAAATGCGCAACTACTTGACCGCTAGTCAAAAATGTAATTTTTGTCAACTGTCAAATTACAAGAATATGTAATTTTTCTAACAGCATCAAGCTAATAATAATAGTAATAAAAACGGTTGGGTTAGATTTTGAAACGAAGAGGCGACATTACAAGTCAATTTAACTGAAAAAATATCGTACAAGAGCGATTGTTTACAATTTTTTTTAAATAGAAATTAAAAATGAAAGAAAATATATAAAAGTTAGTTAGTTAACCATAAGCGATTGATTAACCTTATCGTGTTGCAAATATGACAATAGAAAATACGACTTTTCATTAATTGAATTCTAAATAAATTACCCCTTTGATGTTTCACGATTAAAGTTTTGAAAACCCTCCATAACCACTTAGAAGAAAGGTAAATTAGGATACTTGGTTCATCCAAACTTTGCCTCTTACACTTTCTTCAGGAAATCAGCAATAAAAAAATTAAAACCAAACTTAGCGTGTCGACAACCCGCAGATTAACGCTGCCTTTATGAGATTTGGCTGCTATCAATTCACGATGTTTCCAATATTAGTTTGCCAGAAGGCAATTAGAGAATTTTAGTTTAGTTGGTCAATCAAAGAATTTTAATCCTTTCTTTGGTCGTCTTTGCAAAATAATATACTAATTTCTCGTTATGACGTAAATTTTTACAACATCAAACAAAGATTTTCCCATTTGTTTTGGGACGCCCTATAGAAAGGTCAAATGGCTGAGGGTGGTTTTAAATTAGATAGGTAAACCCCAGAGGCTGTTTTGCTACTAAAGGCAAATTTTTGCTTTGCCCTGTTCACATGGAGAAGATCTACTGTTTGTAGGGAAAAACGGATGTTAGAATTAAATATATCAATTAAATGTTTAAAATTAATCAAAACGGCGTTTAGACATTTTGATGCAGATTATATATTCAAAACGCGCCAGCGAATTCGATCGCCCGTGTAATCTGGTCAACATTTTCAGCTGCCTCAAGAGAAGAACTAATCAAATAGCTACTAATATAAATAGATTTTCGTTGAAAGAAAATATTTCCAGGCATTTGGGTATTCGAAAAAATCGCATAGTATGTGAGAAAGTGAATGTAGATACTAAAGTTGTTACAAATTCCAATAAACCTTTAGTAACATAACCAGGTGTGTTTTTTGGCGCTCAAAAAATAATTGCAACACCGGAATTGCGAAAAAGTTACCATATTTACAAATGCCTCTTCAATATAACACGTCGCAATAAGCGATATAAAAAATATGTGTAATAATCGACCTACGTAAACCAGAAAAAGTGCGTGTTCAAGGGAGACAAAGATAGTAGAGAGACATAGATGAATTAGAAATCGCGTACGTCCTAACCATGGACGGTCTGAAGCGTTGCAACCATTAAATGGTTGAATCTTGAATATCTTAAGAAAATGATCTTCCATTGCGAGTTTTAGACCTCACCGCCATCAGAGTGTGGCGAACAAACTCACTTCAAACACTGTATATTAAGAAACCAGCACAGGTCATTGTGTCATTGTGGTCATTAAAGTGTCAAAATTATTAAAAATTTATTAAATTAAGCAAGCGTCAAGGCGCCCAAAATTCAAGACCTATAAATTTCCAAAGATGATTCAAATATACCGAAAAGCTCCTTAACAAAAGAGTCTAATAACGTATGAATGGGCTTTTAATTGCAAACGTGCTCATTGTACAATTAAGCCAATTTGCCGACATACTTGAATTGTTGCAATATGTGAATGTTTCTCTAAAAACATCAATGGGACTATGAAAATAAGTATATTTCACCTTTCATTTCACCTTCATTTTCATTGGACCTTCGTGACATGTCACATAACCTCCAAGTTTTGACAAATCACGAGACGTGACAGTTCTCAACTACTCAAACTGAACTACTGTTGGGGAAAAATGCAAGTGACCCAGTTTCCAAATAGTTTTTTTCTACTAAAGAAATTTAAAAAATGAAGCAAAATTCATGGAATTTTAGGCAAATAAGTGGGAGCAACGAAAAAGTGTTGCATCAGTAAAACTCACCAGTTTGACCAGTAGCGAGTTATGGGGACATAGATGGAAACTTAAAGCGTCGGCGTATAAAAACATAAGAAAAATGATATATCTAAAAAAGCCCATTTATTGACCTTTGCCAACCGGCCTAGATGTGGCAACGTTGCGTGGGGTCTCGAGATCGTTGAACGTTCAGCGTAGTACTCGCCGTTTCATTCAACTTTGCGCAGCACCGCCCAACGTCGCCGCCGCCGTCGCCCGTCGAGAACGATGTCGGTCGGTCGGCAGGGCTCCGTCAATTTTGGATGGCCGCGTTATTTCGGCTCGCTAGAAAACGTTCCTAAACTTCCATTATTGTTATGGACGCGGTGCAGACCAGGAATCAGACAATTGTTTTTTTAGAAAAATATTCGTAAATTAATAAAATTTGTCAGATATTCATTCATCTGTCAGAACTGATATTGCAACAATTCGCGAGTTCAAAAGTCCACACGCCCCCTGGTGGCCATAATTATAAGTACAAGTTGCGTAGTAATTTGACACTTGTTTTGTTGACATTGGTGTCACATTGGTCTTTGCCTACATCTGATTGTGATTTGTTTTGTTCTAATCAACTTTTGCTAGCTTTTAACGAAATAGAAACAGATCAAAAAGGATGTAAGTATTGTTTGATGTTATAAATGTCATCAACTCCAATAAATAAACAAGTCTCAACTGTCACTCGACAACGAGTAATTTGACGTTTTGCAGCGCGCACTTGTGCACAATTATTGGATAATTGCACAAGTCAGGGGGTTCAAAAATATCAATTACTATCATTATATTTTCTCAATCGGAAATCCGATTTGAACAGTAATTTCAGGCGTGATTATCACTGTGATTTGCATCAAATTAGCGCTATTCTTGGACATAATTTAAATTATAAGATAAGCACAAATAGTGACAGATAGTCTTGGTCATAGTTTAAATCCGTATTCTCTGAGCAACTTGGACCTTTAAAAGTCTGTGTATCTTGAGCCATTCGAGAAGTACTAAATTTTTGATGGCCGGTCACTTTTCTGCACGAAATCTATTTAAAATTTATTAGAAGCTTAGAGCTGTTTATTAGCTATTGCTTTTCTATTTCTCCATCAAGAAACAAAACAAAAAATAAAATTATTTCGCGTTAAAAAAAGAACACAGAGAAAGTAAACAGAGCTTTCAATTTGAAATAAAATGTAGCTCACAGCGAGTTTTTCCGAAATTTCCTTCGAAAATAAAATACCTAGTGTAGTTAAATTGGCGGGGAAAACGTGTCCGGTCATAAAAATGAATATCTCTCGAATGGCTCAGGATAAACAGATCCAAATTACTCAGAATACATGAGGCTTACACCGTACCACTCCATATTGTCCGCGGAATCATTTAGACTTTGCCGATTATGCAACAGCCCTAATAATGCTTAACAAATACATAAGTCAAAATAGTTGAACACAAACATGATTAATCAGTGCTTGCAATTGGCATAAATCTACGCCTATTTTTAATGATGCATTTGTAACTCCCGTTCATAAAATCTTCGCATAATCCACACAAGAGATAGCCGAACAAACATAAATCGCGAATAGCGGCTGATGTTCGCGATGAACATCTGGATGATTTTCTATGGCCAATTTGGAGACTTCCATTAGTGGAAACAAAATTTGGCAACATTGAGACCGATCGATAACTTCAAAAGGGAGGCTAAAACTCCGCTGGCAACGTTTCTTAACACTCCACCTACGTCGGTTCACACGATCCGAGGAAGAGTTTATGAGATTAGGCGCACCTTGTCATGTTCCATGCTACTCTTAATGAATCAAAGTACACGGTAAAAAGCGCAGGATGACAGCAAATCCGAATGAGCATTACACACCATTATTAAACTTCGTGAAATGGAGGCGAAAGTGGGACGGAAATCTTTGAAAACCGCTCTCCTTTTATCAAACGACACGATAAGGGGGCACTCTTGCCCGGCTCAACGCAACCGGGCAATGCTTGAAATGTTCCAAAAATGAGGACTAATAAACGAAATTGATAGCAGGATTTGCGTGTATATTGTGAGGGGCTAAAAGGCACTTTAACTCACGTGAGCATATTCAAATGTGCCACACCAAACAGACTTCCAAATAAAACCGGACATTGGTTTAAAACAATCTCAATGGACTCTCCCCGTAATATTGTCATCACTAGGATACTTCATGGATACCGACATCCGGAACAACGCTCATCCTTCCTAAAAACCCCTTTTTCTTCGCCTGAGGCCTGAATTGCCTGAAACACGTGGTGGAACGATTTAAACTCGGAAAGTCCCAGATTTCTCATCATCGGGAGTCGAAAATAACCCACACCATGCCGATCTAATCCAGAGCGTTCGCAGGGGGGCCGCGATCCACGTGTGCCAACTTCCTGCCAACGCCGGAAATGCCACCGTGAGCCAAACGGCGGAGCGCCGGAGGTTCAATGCGCTCCAGAAATAGGACGATCTCTATGTCGTCTGTATCCGATGTATCGTACCATTTAGAGCGAGATATTAGGTTATTCAGTGACACCCAGTTTAGACCTTGAATGTGGTGGAGTTGGGGAAAAGTCGCATTTAGTGTTCCTGGCCTGTTGGCTTCATATTAGGTATAGTGCTCGAAAAATTGAGGAAGAAATTGAATAACAGAAGAACATTACAAAGTTGAAACTGAAGTATTCTTCCCATTTTAAGCAGTGGTGGAAATTCTTCCGGCTCGCATCTTCAGAGTTGGGTTGCTCGAAAGCAAAGCAACCGCTAAAGAAGAGATGCTAAACAAGAGGAAGAAGTTCTATTCCAGGGCAGCATAAAGCCCGAAGAAAACTCCCCAGTTTGGATAAAACCTGCATCAGCAATTAGGGCTGTTCGCCAACAATAAATATCGAAGTTTCGATTGCAAAACAAAAATATAAAAATATCCAAAAATTGACATTTACAAAAATGAAATATGTAGGAGCATAAAATAAATGAGACACATTCAAATGTAATTAATTGAAGAACTAAACTAAGTGCTGATGATCATAGCAACGTTTTCAGAGTACAAAACACATAGAAATAAACAACAATCTCCCAAAGGAATGGAACCCTTATTTAAAGAGGATCTTAGAAGCAATAAGCAACCTAGATTTCCAAAAAGATCGAGAAGAATAATTGTGCAGGGTAAAAATAAGGCAAGTGAAACTATTAATTAAATTAACAAGAAATCTAGGTGTCGCATTTGCGCAACAAACCATTTTAGAAAAATACCGAATTTAGGGAACAAGAAATATATCCAGGCTTGTCTGGGCTAAAATCCTTTGAATTCCAATGCAACTCGTCAACGCTGCACTAATTCATGCATGTTCGAATTACTACTACGTAGTAAAATTGCCAACATGATGGAAAAAGGGGACAGAATTTCCACCTGTATAAACAGGGAATCCCTCGCTTTAATCGATTATTTTCCTAGTATACAAGGTGACAGAAAGGTGCAAAATACAAATCGATGGAATATAACCCAGGGAACAATTGAAAAAAGAATGAAAACAAAATAAGTAGCATATTTTCCTTAATAGAAAAATTCACTTTAAGACGCGTTCACAGCGAGAAACACCAACCCTTGACAGACATTCCCGACTACTAACTAATGAATAAAGTAGAAAAGACAACTTAACAAATGTAAACTCAAATAATGGGCGTCTGTACTTTTGGTCACTGTATTGTGTACCTACATAAAATGGATTTCTTGCCCCTTTATTTCAATAAAATGGAAAATATTTTGATCATGATGATGACGAGTGTTACAGCCTCGAAAACATTATTAAAAATGAAAAAGAAAACTCCGCGTTAATACCCTTGTTTCATTGAGTAAAAATGTCCATTCATCAGAATCGGAAGAACCTGTCGGCTACTATATATGACGCGATGGTTTTCACATTTAATAATTGAAACAATCAGTCCGGCAATTTTCTGCGATTACTCACATTATGACGACCCGAAGGCGTCATTTATTTGCCTTTGGCACCGGCGCCAACAAATCATTCAAAAAACGTTTTTTGACGTAATTTTTTTTGGATAACAGCATCAACGGTTGCTGTTTTAAGCAAAGCCAAAACAATAAATGAATAAATATCGTGATTTCACCTATGCAGTCAAAATAGGTAAAAATCAGCGTAGGTTTTCTCGAAAGTGAGTTGATCCAAAAATATATAGGTACTAATTAAAACATATAAGTTAAGCAGAAACATTAAACAGATTTGAAGTCATTCGGCAATGTGTTTGTGTGTAATTCCAGTTTCAACCAAGCTGTAGAAATAAACTGCGACAATGTGAACTGCTTATTAGAAACATGCTTCAGAGGAATGTCTTTCAACGGTTGAGTCGGTGGTCACCTACCATTGTTATAAATAATTTTGAGCAAGCAGGTAGATTCGTTCAGAGAAGCTGAAACCGATTTTCTTTATGGATAAACCGTTGTCCTTTAACGCAGGTACTTTGATGATTAAAGGGCACCTAAGTTTTATATTAAAGATGAGTACCCGTAGATTAAGTAGCAATAAGGTGTTATCCTTGTTTGAAAATAAATATGTTCAAATGTGATTAAAGATGTAACAAAACACATTTTTATAGCAGACGAGACACAAAAATACGTATTTGCAATTGGCTAGTGAACTCTCAGATACCAGAAAACTACTAAAATTTCAATAATTCCCCAAAAACTGTATAGCATTGCTATCGCAAAAATAACGGCTTTATTTGATCAAAGCGTTCCAAGAAGTTTTGAACGGTTTGCCAAACGAGGATCAAAAACTGTCGATACGGGCCGATAACAACAGGTGTCCTGGCGCCCTTTGCAAAACACATCTACCTACAACACGAATCGTACTGCAAATAATATGTGTCATTGATCGGCCACATTTGCTTTTCCTGTAGTAAGATAAGGAAATCTTGGGTCGTCATCAATAAATATAATAATTTGTTTCACAACGGATAAGGCCGATTGGCTCACTGAAAGCTTACAATTACTGTCTCAAAACGTATCTGGTGGTCAAATACCCACTTTAACCTGATTTCAAACTAGAAAAGAGCAGCGAAAGAACATTTCATTCAGTTTCCTAAATATTCCGAATAGACTGAATGCACTTACAGATGTTCACTATATAGGATTACTATGTAAATCAGTAATCTGCGTCAGGGCAAATTCCATATCTACATGCAGTTCTAACGTACACAGTAACTGCGATAATAAAAACAAACATAACCGGATAAATCAACAAAAGAGTCAGGATGTTTTCCAGTTTGAGGACAAATGAAAAACTACTGAAAGCATGCTTTTAAATGAAAAAATAACAGTAATAAATATAAACGAGCAAAAATCAACAATTGCAGGATTTACAGCGACCTGAAATAGGTATGCAATCAGAGCATTTCACTTACTTACCATCGGTAACTTTGGTGAGTATTCTCATAATTTCCGGAAGTTCTTTGGTAAGGATGGCGGAAGGTGTCTTTTTGAAGATATTCTGCAGCAGACTGGCCAAACATTGTCTGAAAATAAAATATAATTATCAGATTCTACTAGGGACTAATTTTTATGTACCATGAATGAACTCCTAAGACAAATTAAAAAATTAGGGAGGCGAAAATAACCAGTGCCTAACAGTTTTAACACACACATTTTGGACCCATCGACCATGGACCCTTTAAATGGTCATTGAGAAAACAAAGCGGAAACATTAAAATCCTAACAAGAGAAAATACTTGACCAATCCAAACAGGAAAGAAAAGACAATTAACACTGAATGGTTGACAGCCGTTGAACAGTTTTCGCAGGCAAATACATACTTAGATACTAAATCAACGATTTCACATGCGGCTACTTCCGGGAGATGAAGGATGACGAAATTGGTCAAAATTAAAACAACAGGATGTGCCTTCGGTACGTACCAGGATTGGCATAAAATAACTCTTGAATACTGCTTGATATGCAACAGTGTTTTGGCGCCAAAACCCGCACAAGAAACTTTTCGATCACATAGACTTTTGGAGGTTATGCTTTCCGTGTAGGTACATGTAGATGCACCAGACAGCGAACCAAATAGAATGATATAGATTCGGATATGTGAGTCAACAGGATGGGAGATTTAAGATGATCCATAGTTCAGATATTTCTCCTATTTAGTGACTAATGCAATATTCTTAGCACGTAGTAGTACCAGTAATTTGGGATGACACCAGCGGCGCATGGTTTCAGAATAATAATGAAGCATTTTAATCGTTAAATAAACTCCGAACAGACCTAGGTTCTAACCTTACTCAAATACGCACTTGAAAATTCTAGGTTATTACGTCTTACCATTACGTCTGCATGCACGCACGTACCACAAACATCAGTGTCCATGCGCGCTTTCAGCGCCAGCCATGTTTGTGTGGCAAGACGGGCGACAAAGAAACGAAAAAAACTCTTAAAACCCACGTGGGTACTTTGCTGTAGTACCAACATTTTGGCGGGAACTAACCATCAAACGGTTGGGACTGATTCTTTCAGATGCCAAGGCGGATTCTGGGAATGTAAATGATGCGCGCGTCGCGCCCAAATTTTTGGCGGGCGCCGATTGGCGCGTTACGAGAAGAACGCCGATAAATCCAAAGGTGCGGGCGCTGGAGGGGGGGGCGAGTACCTACCGCATAACGCGTTGTTTGGTGATCTCGATTCTGAGAAAAGCCCAGAATGGTCTGAATGGCTGCCCAGAGTTGGACTCTAAAAATTAGGTCCACATCAAATTTGGTTACAATTCAATCACTTTAATATTAAAATATTTCAAATAATAGCATTGTATGTATTACTGTTTGTGGCAATTCCTTTGAAATGTAAAACATTATAGTAATTTCAGAAATTTTATAAATTAACTGAGATGGGTACTATCTACTATCTAAATCAACACGCATAATAGTAAAACACCTCCTTTTCACTAAATTTTGAAAATATAGAAATTAGTAATTAGAATAGGTAAACCCGCCTGCACATCATTTGGTCAAATATATTTTAAATAATTTAAATCCCTGATTATGTACATTACAAACTGCACATTTTTGCGAAAAAATAGATTCGCACAAGGATTAGAAGTCGTATTATTGTCATCGTATTATTATTAACACGGTGCAATAAAAATGAGAAACGAGGGTACAAAAAATGATGTATTGAACTTTTAACAATACTATGCATAAAATCAACTTATTTTCAACAGGTATAATCATGACTTAATCAACATAATTTTGGTCTGTCTTTCCATTATATTTTATCTTATAATCCAACTTTTCAAACCAAATTTTTTTGATAAATATAACTGTAAACGATTTATTTGATGGAAATATGAAGATGATCAACAAAGAACAGCCAGTAAATTATTCACTATTATTATAAATTATGCACTATTCTAAAAAACAACAAAACCAAATGCTCTCTGACATTCTTATCCAGTAAGAAAAAAATTCTGTGCGGCATAGCAAAATAATTTTTGTAATAAGTTTAATTTYAAAAACGAATTCCAATCAGAGAAAATGAAAATAAACCCATTACAAATATTTTTGTTTCATTCAGTCTTGGACTCTTCCTGATAAAATCGAACGAAATCTACGAAATCAAAACAATGTTAAAATTGAAAATACACAAAACCCGTAATTCGTACAATTCATTGTAAATGTAATAAAATTTACAAAGGGAAAACCTCAAAACCATGAAATAAAATAATCAAACAAGATCAAATAATTTCATAAATCACATATTTGGCATTTTGTTTTGATAATTGTCAGAAAATTTATTGGCATTCTTCACCGGTTTTAGCAAATAATCAACAAAAAAAGGGCGAAATTAAAGAAAGCGTTTTCATTTGATTAAATAAGGAGGATTATGTGGCACCATGTTAATTTAATTGTAACCAATAGGTACAGACTACATGGCTACCAATGTTTAAATCTCGAAGAATCAAACACTTAAATTAAACTAATTTATCAAAATCATAATTCCATTCTTCTCAATTTCTAGACAATGAGATCCAGTCAAGACAAAAAATCCTTGACAATTTACCTTTGCTTGTACTTTGAAAAAACAGAAGTACAATATTGGGGTTAAAAAAATTAATTTGCTAGTTAATTTTAATAGATTAATCAGCGATCTTGGGCAAGACTTTGGACTTCCTGAAAAGACAATGTGTAATTGGCTCAAATCCATGGCTAAGGCAAAGACAATTATGGCACACATTCGAATTAAAAAACAAGATAGGCGTAAAAACACATGAAAAACCGTGCTTGAAGGAATAACTTTCCCAGGAATAGAAATTAAAATACCTAGAAATTTAAGTTACTTCATTCAAATTTAAAGAATGAAGGCCTAACTTTTGGCCCTGGGTATATAATAAATACGGGAACGATAGGACGGCGGTACCTGATGTGAATCACCCCCGGCACGTTTTAAGAAGCTGGATGGTACGTTTAAGGACCACCAAAGTAGTAGGTGGATGGAAATGTACAGTTTTAGTTTGTGAAATATCTATGCTTGACAGGAAGCCCTTTTCTTGAGACTCGACTAGTAAATTATCAAACCAAGTGCATATTCCTAGAAATGTTTGCTTCACTAGATAATATTCTCTTGAAGCACAATCAAAACAATTATATATTTACAATTCTTATAAACCAAAATTATGATCAATCCAACATGCTTGAAATTTATAAAAAACGACCCTCAAAGCATGTGAAATTAAAACGGCTAATTTTTTTGCCTTTATACAAACATTTTTGCAATGGTCTAAAACCTACCTACTTTAATTAATAAACAGAACGAAATACATAATTTTCTAAAACATTCATTACATATTCAATCTCAAATTTCACGGTCAAAAATCAATTAAGTTTCTTAGTAGTTCATTGATATTTATATTATTTATCTTAATTTTTTTTTCGTTTTAAACTTAAGCATGTATGTATTTGATATTTCAACAAGAATCAACATACAAGTCTTCAGTAAACATTTATTAACGGTGAAGTCGTTTTTATAATCTAAGTCTACTGTTGTTTCAGTTTCCAGTAAAATAAAATAATCTACACAATTAGATTGCCTTATCAACATTTAAAATAATTTAATCCAACAATCAAATCGCGCAACAAGGCACCAATGGTTGAGCACTTTTTAGAAGCGGCAGCGTGGCTCCCAAATGGAAATCGGCGTCTTTTAAAGCCCAGACTAGACAAGCGTCACGTTGCGAATATATAGCGCGGTAAAAGTCGAAGCCTGATTGGTCAGGTGTAGACTCCGCCTTGCAGAAATTCACGAAATGGCCGGCCGCGATCAAGATAGATGACAAAACGCTAAGGGTAGGTTTACACAGGGTCAGGGGGCGGAAAACATACTTTGACGACTTAGAAATGTTGGCAACATTGGTCCAGCACACTGAAAATTGCTGATAGTCAGGTAGAGATAAATTAAAAAGCATCGCACAGAAGGAGAAGGGATTCAACGAATTCAAGCAAAAAAATAATTTTAAATTACTGTGATAGATTATTGATTTAAAATTAGTAATAATATTGCAAAATATCCCTCCAAAAATTGCCTTCTGTTGGGACTAAAAATATGTTATAGGTACCTACTTACTAGCATATAAAATAGGTCAATTGCAGTTTATCAAGGGAACAAAAATTTTAATTTTCGCTCTTAAACCAGGCAATAATAATAAACATCAAGAAAATTTCACAAAAAATTATTCCAAAACACAGGTTTGCTTGGGACAAGCTCTAATTTCAAAAATGAGCCAGATCGAGGCTCCTTATTGCCTTAATTAAATTGAATAATCAAAATAGTCCTTACATACTTAAAAAACAGCAAATGTGGGCAGACTGTGGCGGCAGAAATATGAAAATGTGTTTATAATATCGTTGTAGGAAGAGGAAATCTCTGGAGAAATAAAAAGAAAATGGAAAAATTTGCATTAATCATGTTTGCGCCCACCAAAGAATTAATTCAAAGCGAGCGGCCCACAAAGCACCTGAGCTGAGAAAGACAGGGGAAACTGAAAGGTTCAACCTAAGTAAATGGTTATGAAGGAATTAAGTAAATAATGAGCTTTTCAAAGAGCGAAAAAAAGAGAATTTTTCTGTCCATTTAAGGAATCATTCAGCAAAGGAATTAGGGGTTAATTTTCAACGAAAAAGGATAAGTAGGTAGTTATCCATTTAAAGGAAAGAAAATAAACTCCCTTGGCTGGGCAAGGCAAATTTTTTGAGTGCTTCAATCAGAAACTATAATATAAATGGCGTCCTCGAATAGAAACTATTGAACTAACTTACTTAGAAGCGATGTAAAAAAAGTCCATTAAGTGACCAGAGTAATTTTTAAATTTCCACTGAAAAGTCCATGCTTTCGAACCTTTTATGACCATCTTTAATCTGTCATTGACAAATCAAATAGGTGTACTGGACATGAATGTGTGTTCGAAAGAAGTGTACTGGACATGAATAAAAGAAGTTGATTGGCCTGTCGGCTTCACAAATGTGCT